ATTCAAATCGATCCCGAGAGGGAATATTGTACGTATACATTAAATGGGTGGGTCGAAGTTTTGAATGCGCCACAGCACTACTAATACGGTTGGTTGTAGTCTACCCGGAATTTGACCTACAAATGTTCATAAATATATATATAAACATGTGTGTATGTGTGTTTGTATGTAGTGTGTTCGTATATGCAATTATACCCTTAAATTATAACATTGAGTTTTGTGTAAGAACCCGCATAAAAAAAATGTGGTGGAGGAGGGGATGGAAAATTAGGAAGGTGGTAATCATTTTWAAAAAAATATTAAAATGCAGCAACTAGTATATTCGTAACTAAGCTAGTTGGTAGGATTTATCGCATAGAGCAGCTGAATAATCTGAATAAAAGCACCATCATCGCCCCTATTAAAAACCATTCTTCTGGAGCCAAAATAATTACCACTCACAAGTAGGTCAATTTTTCGAGTTATTAAATCAAATCTAGTATTATAATAATATACATCGATAGCTGCACTTGGCGACCTGTGGTGATGTCTGCAAGCGTAGTAATTGAATTGTTTTACTCATATTAAAAATACATACGATCAACAGTTATCTATTATTACTATAAATAATCTTAAATGACTATTACATATTATTATACTTTTACAATTTACGTCTTTGGGCGTTTTCGAATCCAGTGTCAACCTTATTAATTATAGTCGTCAATGTTTTAAGGAAAAATCTGCTGCACTAGTAACAAAAAAAAAACCAAACACACTCTCAATATCTGTCTAAAGTTTATACACTAGGTATAATAAGTAATAATGTAAACTCTACATTTAGTATATAAATAATAGCTTTTAGTTATTTTTATTTTTATTTTAACAGTATCTATACACTTTTCTTCAAAAAATAACTAATTACACTGAATTGTAATAAAAATAATACATCAAAATCATGCTTTAAACTGTGTACCAAATAATATTTAAAACCTGAAACAGTTTTACAATAAATACTAATATTTAGAGATGTCAAGATTCAATCATTTTTCTTACTGTTGTTAAAATTAAAATTTTTTGATTCATTGACATGAATACGAAAATTTCATACCATTATAATTTTATATTCGAATAAACAATAATAACAATATTATAGTGACTGCATCGTTATATATGCTAATTTATTAATCTAAATAATTCAAAAATAAAATTATATTAACGTGAATTAAATTTAAATAATGTCATAATTATTTAAATTAACCTATATATGAAACATCATGAAAGATAAAAATTAATAATGTAATTTTTTAACGTTGAAAGTTGTACGCATAATTGCGTCTTCCCTTTAATATATTTCCATTTATTACGCCAAACACCAAATATTAAGAACTATATCTGTTTCTATGCTAAGTTTCGGCAAAATCCATGATAGTTTTGGAAAAGTACAAACAAAATGTAATCCACTTCAGTGTTATAGTTTTTTAATTAAATAATAAAAAAAAAACATTGAGTATAGTTTATATTATAGTATACCTAAACCGTCGATAGATTTATTCGAAGACATTCAAGATAAATCTAAAACTTTATTTAAAAATAAAAGACAACATATTATTATTAAATATAGAAACAGCAATAGTMATTTGTGGAAAGTGACGTGTTTATATATTATTAAATATTTAAATCGTACTCTATAAGTGCAATGTTTTACATTTTTGTTTTGAGTTTTCAGCAATGTAAGTTGACGTAATAATGACGTGCGTGTAGTAATGTGTAGACGGGGCTGTGGTTTAGAATATATTATTAAGTGGTCTATAATTTTGAAATCGGTGGGTTTCACTTGTCATGTTGTTTTCCAGCTGAATCAAATAATATTCTTAATTGAATTTATCATTAGAAGATTTACATAGATCATCTTTGTGACACATTTGGGTACGCCCGTCAAAAATAACATGGAATACGAGCGATGTTGCAAAATGAGCGATAAATATAAATAAGCTATTGGACTCGCTTTGGTTTCAATCGCGGCTGACCACACGCAGACACTGTATACACGCCACTCGTTGTATCGAAATATTATAATAATATTATATTATTATTTTATTATGTTGCACAATATTAAACAGAAACGGCGTAATCCCGTGGACGACCGGCTGAAGTTTTACCAAAGCTTTGTACCTCCGCCGCAGACGAATTACTCACGAGACCAGTAAATTTTAATTAAATCGCGAAATTAATTTTAACRTGAATTAGAAAAAGGTTTTTTAAGTTTATCTTCGGTACAGCGAGTTGTATAAAGGACGCAGCTGCGTTTATATACTTTTTTTTATGAAAAACGTAACATACTTTTTAGAATAGATTTACTGACTGTTTGCTTTCTAACAATTTGAGCGTTCGCGGATATAGTAAATTAAAAGAAAAGTGGCTGAGTGGGTCAAATTCATAAACTCCGTTCGAGAAGAAACATTGCTACGCAGTGTATCAATGTCAGATGTGTCCAAACTGTGTCAATGCCGACTTCGAAAAACTATTATTTGAAATGTTTTAAACAAGTGTGTTCTTTTTTAGTTGGACCATCTCAAATTAATACAAAAACTGCGATTTGACTCTTGAGACAGCTAATTTTAAAGTAGCCGGTTTAAGATAAATTATAATATAACCCAACAACGGTATCACCATAAGTGGAAACACTCAATTATTATGCTCAGGCTGTATATTTCAATTCTGCTTTTTTGGATAACTAATAAACATTATTATACACATTTTCAAATAATTAGAGTATTCTTTTGGTAGTTAATTTTACGCATGCGCACAATAACTATTTTTTAACGACATGATCCATTTTTGACCAAAAATTATTTTTTTGTTATTTTATAATGAATTTTATTTGTTAAATTTATTTCCTAAGTTTAAAAATACCCGATTTATAGCAATTTGGTTTTATGTTATTTGCACGGGTATAATAGATTATAAAATACTTAGTTAATAATCATAAATACGTAAAATAATAATAATAAAAATAAAAATATTAATTTTTTTATTCATAAAAGTGTTATTTATCTAACAAATTGTTCAAACTGTGCACTATGATGCTGTAAGCAACATTAAAAAAGAATTAAAAATTCTCAATTAATAGCAAAGTAATGCAAATATTGTTCGCAACTACCTCAATTAACATTTTCCAAATCGGTGGATAAGACTTATGGAGCAGTTCAGTGTCCACCAAAGTCACCAAGTCTTACACCACTAGATTACTTCCTAAATGGGGTCACTTGAAAACGGTAGTGTATGCCAATCTGTTAAACCCGTGCAAATAAAATAAAATAAAATTGCTATAACTCGATGATTTTTTAATTTAGGAAAGAAATTCAACCACTAAAATTCATTTAAAAAAATAATTTGTGGTCAAAAAGGATCATGTAATTTAAAAAAAAGTTATTATGCGCATGCTCAAAATTAACTGCCGAAAAATAGCCTAATTATTTRAAAATGTGTATAATAATGTTTATTAGTTAGCCAAAAGAGCTGAATTGAAATATACGAAGTCTGTTTATAGTTGTGAATGTTTCCACTTATCGTGATTACACTGTATATATCAAAATCTAAATCACATAAAATTTATTACAGTATATTTTGGATTAAATTTACAATTTATATCTACACCAATAATAATACACAAGTTACTAAATATTGCAACTGAACCGTTGAGGAATAAAATATGTTCGATATGTGTGGTTTATAGTTGTATAAATGTACAGTCACATTTAATTTCAACGACATAATTAGAAAATAGGAACTAAAAATTAAAATAATAGAAGTTAACTAAAATATTTAGTTCACCGAAACCAATTGTTATCGTTACCGACGCCCGATTTAATACAAATTGCTTTCAGTTGTATGACATATACAGTGGTAGGTATAGTACGTAGTATACTGCAGTATAGAGATTTCGTAAAACCGTAAATTTATTAAAACAGCTAATTCTAACACTGATTTGATTGTTGCGATCAAACTATAGCTTTAGAATAATATTTGCTAATTACTATACATTAGGCGGTGTTCCTTAATAATATTTTCGTTATTGGTTTTTTTTAAGTGCCCACTCTAAAAAAAAAATATCTGATTTTCAGACAAAAAATATAAGATATATTCGGGTTCAAATTGATAGATTTTAACCCATTCCACAAAAACTCTAATGGTATGTAAATGTATGGCTTTGATTCGATGGAAAATGCTATTTCAGAGTTTTTGTGGTGCAGATTAAAAATAATTATTAGTTTGTCTGAAACTATTTACTCGCATTGTTTTTTCTATTGATCAGTCCTTTTTTTAGGAAGAAATCAAATCAATATTAATTGTATGCATCTATTCCAGAGATATTGAAATTAAAATACCAATTCGACGATGACGAGAACTGATGAACGCTATATTCACCATCGGCGCAGAGGAATAAAATAAGCACAAAACTTAAATGATTTATTTTATATTACGTACCTATGTTATATTTTAGTATCTAGATTCTGGTCTAATTAACTGCTGCTACAACGTTATGATTTTCGCTGTACGCCATTAATTACCAAATACCCCTCCCCCCCCATACTCACGACTGCTGTGATTATAGTTTCCTTAACTTCTACGTGAGCTGATTTTGACATTTTGATGTACCCGTGGTAAACACACTTGCGCAGACAAACTGAACACACAAACAATATTATCATGTGCTAGTCACGCTTTAAAAACTATATTTATATAATAATATTATGAGATGTTCTGTATTAATCAATTTAAATGAATTTCAAATCGAACACGACGGTTCGGAATATATAATGATATTATATACGTTATAATCGTATAGCCTACACGTATGTAAACAGTATATTTTAATCACCCTATAAAATACATACCWAATACATTACTGGGGTTACCAACGATCTTTGAATCATGGAAATTCGTATAATATTATATCGAGAATAATATTTTTATGTGCGAGATTTGAAAAATAATTTTTACGATGTTTTATTTTCCAGTTACGACGGCGAAGACCAGTACGAGTTGGAGGACCGAGCATAAAGCTGCTCGCACGCTGGGAATCATCATGGGCGTATTCCTATTGTGCTGGTTGCCATTTTTCCTTTGGTAAGAATATTACAATATTATACKCGTTACATASCATTGTGTCACACTTCTTTTTTTCATTCTCTTTGGTCAGATATTAAAATAGTATATTAGTACATTACACACATATATTATTATTATTTAGAAGCTGCAACAGACATTGCTGCAGATGTACACTCTCTAAAGAACATTATTAAAAAGTAATGTTCGTACATATTACGATAATAACGAGTACTTCCGCATATTATTAACTGATATAACATGTGGTCCGAATTTATTGGCGGGCACT